TCTACGATATGGTGCCTCACCATCTCCATGACGAAAACCAACCATATACCAATGTCCGTCACCCCTGTTGCTAAGGTACCACCCCCACACTACATCCATGCCTACTTGTGTTTATTCAGCAGTTCAATCTCCTGTGCCCAAACATGTGGAATTTATCTGAACATATGGAAGAGATGATTTTGAAGAGATCTGTAGACAATAGACAATGTTTAACATTCAGACATTGATGGATAAATTCTCTGTAACGGTAGGAATGTCATTCACATAGAGAAAATGTCACGGTCAAGAGGGAAATTCTGGACAGGGTCACCCAAGATAGTCATTCTCAAGGGCCTTAATCTGTCCAATCTGTTGGTCATTAGGATGTCTGAGTGTCTGTTATAGGTTCTGACTACTAAATCTCCAGTATAGCAAATATATCAGGCAGTCTTTATATAAAAGATCTGGTCAATGAACAAGGCAACAAATATTTTTCTTGTACTGTGTTCACACTTCTGCACAAAAAAATCCATTTAAATGACAATCGTTTCTGCTGTGATTAGTAAAAACATCAGCTTCCCATGGAAACACCTCCATTTGTTATTTCCCGACTTTATTTCCTTCTGTAACACCTTGAGGATACCAACTGGTCACTCTGGTCATCCAGCCCCTAGAGGCAACTATTACAGGGTATTATTTTAATGACTTCCTTTTCAGGAGTTAACCTGTCACAGCTGGCAGTCTTTCATTGTGGTTAGAGTCACACATTGTTGTTGACCGTTTTACAGTGTTCCAAAATTGCCTGTCAGCTCTCGTAAGTCTATCTACAGGGTTATCTCCCTTTTATGGAGCTTTCCCAATTGTCATGCGGCCACAGAAATGTCATCCTCCTAGTTTTACTACCTTCAGCCAATGATACAATCGGGCCAGCTGCCAGCTGATGTAGGCTACAGCTCCTTTGACAAATTTAATCAACTTTATATTCAATGTAGCAGTGTCATCGAAGGGGTAAAACTCAATCAGACCGACCGTAATTTACCGAAATTAACACGACTACCAAATTTAACACGGCCAAATGAAACCCATCCATGTTAAGTGGAAGCAGTCGTAAAATGGGTATAAAAAGTTTAATCAATTAACACTAGTTTATAGAACTGGTCTGATCAGACGATAGGGGCGCGCAGCACTATCAAACCAAACAGTCTAATAACAATCGTGGAGAGGACACGACAGCGCCACCTAGTGGCCGCGATAAACACTGATTTACACTGTCTGGATGACTAACCTTAACGGTAGACAATCTAATAGACAGCATGACATAACACTCGTAAATAAACCCCCCAGTTTTACTCGGCTAAAAAATAGTCCAGATTAATTTGCAAAATGGGGATATCTTTTTCATGGATTAATAAAGTGGACATTTATGGCCTTCAGTCTGACAATTGTCCAGAGAACCGTTTAAACTCTAACAGGTTGTTCACAATTCAGTTTTTCCCAGGATGATCGATACCAAGAGCCATAAAAGAAGAATGCCAGAGAGAAAACATGGTAGACCCCTTCACCTAGCTCTAGTGTTTATTTTTCGCCAGCAGCCATTTCTGATTCATCAGTAGTCAACTTGGAAAAAACTCATCCTTTTATCGAGGTTCCTATGCATTTTGGTGCAGGATTGGGTTATTTATGAGGACATATTTTATCATTTGATGGTCAGTGCTGAATGACTTTCCAACCAATTAAAGACGAGCTCGTCAGGGCACAGTCAAACTCCGCTATTTGCATGGTCAACGGGCCAAATCCCATATCCATATACATTTAGTTTTTATGTGTTTGCAGTCAGATTGTAAATAAAGCTGTATGAAAACCCAAGATTATCTCGTAGATGGACAGGCCAGCTAGCTAACAACGCCATCTAGTGAGTGGATTGATAGTGGACAGTGTCTGGAAAGAACATTAACCAATGTCAAGAGTCCTGTCTACCAGTCAAAAACACCAATAACCAGCAACTCACCAGCCAAATTAGTACGGAAACGGGGTCCTCCATCCTATCGCTCCTACCAATAACATGGCAGCACAGAGACGAGGCGGTCTTATCTTTCGTACTAATATCATGGTTGGTAACTAATTCTGTTTTATTTCCCAATTAGAACCAGAAACAACAAGCTAAACATTATGAGTGAGATAGCCCTCTACTTCAGTTCCATATAATCCAGCATTGCCACCAAATCCTGACCTTCAAATATCATACCAGAGCTTATGGTGTAGGTATGTTTAGGTTTAATGGAATGCTATTTTTGTATGGGAATTTTATCTCCGGCTTTGGAGAATTTACCACAAAAATATACTAATCTTGATTCGTAAGGGTATTGACCTTGAAAATTCTTCTAAGGTCATATTGTTCATGCATCTAAGTTATGTCCTCACAACCATGATTTTTTGGAGACAATCCAGAAAGACATTCATGCTTTATCATACAAAGCTAGAAATGCCATCATGTCATATATATATGTATGGTGTTTGGTAACCAACATGCCCTGATTCATGACTAATAAAGTCCAGGGCCAGTATTCATGAAACCTTTCTCATGTTCAAGCATGGATTTCATGCTTAAGCCAAATTTCTTGTTCCTATTATAAATTAATAAACTAAACTTTCGTTGTCAATGATTTGGAAAAAAACATTGAAGAGACTTAATTAAGGCTGAATACAGTTTTCAATGGTTACATTTGACTTTTTGATCATTTGACATGATTTAATGGAGTTACAATAAATTGGTTTGAGCACCGAATCTGTGCTTGAGCATGAGAACGGTTTCATGAATTCGAGCTCTGGTCAATATAACAAGGGCAGGATCATTCAAACAAGGTCATCTTACAAACAAGGCTTGAAGCATAGTATGAATCCAAATATTGCATTAGAACACCAAATTCAGATATCTGGTCTTTCCTTGCAGACACACATTACCTTTTAAACATCTTCTATTTTACTCTGATGCAGGAGTGTCTTAATTCATGTCTAATTATGAATTCCTTTTCTTCTTCTTATTTGAAAATTAAATCATTATTGTAATTAGGAACAAATGTAATTAAAGACTCAGACATCTTCTATTAATAAAAATATTCAATAATTTGAGTTGTATGGAACGTTTGAGAAACCAGATCATTGCCATGAATACCATCCGTGCTATTGTCTAACAAGGCCAAAGGTCTAAGAGTAGAGCTTTTACTGCTGTTTAGCAAGACTTAAATTCCACCAGCACATAACCCTATATTTTTAGCAGCTCTACAATTCAGGTGTATTTAATCAACACAAGTGAATTTTAAAATAATAAACTTAAATACTGAATCCAACATTAAAATACCAGTAATAAAGCCAGGCAGGTGGCCTGATAGCAGTAACTAACCTAATTATACAATTCAAATGCAATTTATTAGAGAAAATTATATTGCAGATAATTTATCCAATTTGCTAAGTTGAGCGTTAAAAAGCACTCCATTTCCTCAACTGTCTGTGAGGGTTAGTGAACCAGGGTATTAAATTGTATCCGTCAATTCCCATATCAAATTCTCTCTCCAATCAGAGGATAGGAAAGGAGATTTCAAATAAATCTCTTAACATCAAACATGGATTTTGGCAGACTGTTTGTAAACCATGGGAGGTTCTGGCAAGTTCTACATAGATCATATATGATCTGAGATTGCATCTTAAAAATATGTGGTACACTAAATCAGGCAGTCAAGAACAGCCATCAACATGAGGGTATGACTTAGGTTTTGAAATGTGTTGTGCCCTCATCATTAAAACCTTTGGGAATTGTATTAAGGGTACATGTGACATTTCCATGACATGTACCTCCTTTGTTAAAGATTTCCATACCGGGAAACCTATTGAATTTGTCCCCAATAGATAAATGGAGATTTGAACTGTGCTAACTAGTTAATTACAAATTAAAACTTTACACCAGATTGATGTTTTTGTTACTTGCAATAAATGTTTGAATTACTAGATAATAATCATTTATAGTTTTTCTAAGGGAAATAACTCTAGATATTATATGCAAGGAAGTATATTCCCTTGACTGAAGGGTTTTATATCTCCCCCCCCCCCCCCCCCCCCCCCCCCCCCCNGACAGTTTCTCTATGGGAGATAAGTGTTATAGCAAATTCTAACAGATAAGAAGACAATTAAGTTGAATCAGTAACAACTATAGCGGGAATCTTATTATCAAATAAACACTATTAGGCTTGTCCTGTGGGAACTGTTACAAGTGTAATTGGGATATTATAATCAGATATACATTTGGTTTGGCCTGTTAGACCATTTTACAAGCATAGAGGGAATAGTCATGCTAGAATAAGATATTTCAGCTTAGCCTGTGGGACCCGTTTAAGACATAGAGGGAACACTAGAAACGGATATACAGTTGGGTTTGGCCTACAATAGGAACTACCACTAGCAGTAGTAACCCTCTGAGCCTTGTCAGGGTCTAATTGACTGATGGTATAAACTGGGTGGTTTGGGACAGGGACAGGCAGGGGGCAGTGTGGCCCCATACTGTCAGACTCAAGTGTTGGACAATGTTTTATATCAATCTCCCTTTCAGTACAGCTTTCCAGACCTTTGTTGTCAACTACAGAAGATATATGTTTGGTAGTTGCCTTGAGTTTAACCAGATTTAATTGGGATTTTTTATAGAAAAAAAACATTTTGACATTTTTATCAGTGGAATTTCGAGATTGGATCAAGTCAACATAAGGATGTTCTTAGCTTAAATCTTTGATGATGTTTTTGTCAATTTGCAACTGTAACACAATATCATTAGTGCAAAATCCACAAGAATGATGTAAGTAACCCATGGATTGACAAAAATATAGCCAGTGCAGCCTTGTTTTCACTTAGGTAGCAGTGACCTACCTACCACCAACACACTTGAGGCTATTGCAGCCCTTGTTTTCACCAAGGTAGCAGCGACCTCTCTTCTAACAGATTCAAGGTCACTATTTGATAAGAAGTGACGTACTTACCGATACACTCGAGGCTGTTGTGACCTTCGTATCCAGGTAAACACTGACAGCTGCCTTTGGCATAAAACCATGTTCCATCACTACGACAAAGGTACGTAGGGAGCGCATCCTCTGCGGCGTTTGCCACACATACACCTTTCCGCTCTTCCAGCGCCTGCGGACTGTCACCAGTCGGAGTTTCCATGAAGAATGCGAAGTTCAAAGTCACGTTGGGGCACATGACATAGTAAATTTTGATGGAAATAAGTGTTACACACGCCCCTGTATCCTGGAATGAGAAATAAACACCACCAAGACCACGATTCAATGGCACTTCCCGATCTTCCTTGTTAATTTTTAAATTAGAATTGTCATCATATAGATGATCTGCAGCAATCTTGTCTATACTTTGATACGAAATTTCATCCCACATTGGCATCATTTCGTTCGCTATATCTGAATCAGCCTCGTAGTAAAAGAGATTGAATGTCTCCTTACACTGCTGGAGGCTGCCCGGGTCATTGTGTTTGACACAACGCCTCATGGAGAATGTAATTTCTATGTGTAAACTGTTGGCCTCGCCCCGGGGAATGAAGGGAGTCCTCAGCCAGTTGTCCACACCCTGACTGCTGACGGAACACGAGGCGTACACACGTACAGGATTTCCATTCTCTGCGGAGTAACTGCCTTCTCGCCACTGAAAATACACAAAAAGATAACCAAATTAAAAAAAATCTTAAAGACAACAAATTTCATGTAAAATTTTAATGATTTAAAGATAATTATTTTAACTAGAACACCAATCTCCATCCGTCTCAGCCAAAACAGCACTGTTAACTGGACATTGAAAAATCATGGCATGACCATAGTCTTGATAAATCATTTCTGAAAGGAAAACCAAACCTTGAATGGTCTTCTAGAAAAAATAATAAAGACAAAATGAAAAAAAAATAGTCAACAGCAGTCTTCCGAGTGTAAAAATGTAATGGGACTAGATTTACACGAGCATATGAACCCTAGACCCTGAATTGGTTTACTGCCGTTCTGACTAACTGAACTACCTGGAACAACGGAAGTGTTCTGTCTTATTGCACTGACATTTAATATCCAAAACAATATAAAGGGGAGGTTACTCTATACTCTACGAAAACCACACTGGAACTCTCTAGTGTTTTGCTTGCAGTGTGCAGTTGGCCAGGGGTCCTTAATTTGTCACACTTTGCTATAGATGCTAGAGTACCACTTAGAACTAAACATAACTTATAACAGAGCTTACAAGAACAACTTACTCCCGACTCTTTAAGTGTCTAGCCACCTTGTCAACTAAGTGAATCAAAACCAGTCTTACTACTTAATCAAAGCACTTGCTTTCTTCTTAATGTGACTAGCATCACATCTCTCTATAGCCCACTTATGACAGAGGTGCAGCGCCACTAGTACCAATTCCTCTAGTACCAGAATTCCTCTAACCATACTTCCCCAGTAGTAGAGACTGACGCCAACACTAGTACCATACTAACTCCAATAAATCACTCAATGTATCAACATCCAGCAGGGCTTTTACTTGAGCCTTGACAAAGGCAAAACAACATTTTCCCTGAACGCTGGAGTCCAAATATATGTCAAATAGCATGTCCTTTCAAACCAAGGGTCCAAGCTCATTTTGGAAAGTCGAAAACATAATCTAAAGGGTCTGAAAGCCCTGATGCAGCATTTCATTGTTACTATAGTAACTTAACATGCATTAATTTTATTAAGTTACGGGCCGCAACATTTCAATATAGAACTACAACCAGCTGAACACAGACTTCTTAAATATAAAATCTATTTAAAGATAATATCTATTTTTAGGCGCCTTCAGTAAAGCCCTTTATCTATAGTCCATGCAGTAAATGTGATGATCAAAGCCACTATTTTTACAAGTTTGTTATTTTATATAAGTCTATATTCCCATGCCCAAGTTGTGATATTTCAGTGAGATGACACTTTAAAGTCACCTTTCTGTGGACCTATTATGTGTAGACATCGTCGGAAGACCTAAGCTGTTACAAGGACGGGAAACCCCAAGCAAACATCTAAAGATTTGTTCAATATTCCTTTGACATTAGGAATGGGTTTTTTTAAAATAAGATAATAGCTACCTTCAAGGAAAGCAGACAATATGATGTCAATTATACTGGAAACGAGCTTGTGGTTTATAGCATGACCAGCATCATTTGAACGTTGCATTGTTACAGGACTGATGGGTCTGTACCACTGGTACACATATCATACACAACGGGACATACTAGGACACTAGTTCATTAGGTACCAGTATCTCAGCATCTCTATCAACGGTTCTTACAACAGAAACAAACGTTATCTTCAACCGGAAATTTGTGTGAATGTCTGCATGATGCCGTAAAATATAAAGGCAATTTTATGGGGAGGAAGACTTTCATATTTACATGAAAGACATGAAAATATTTCATGTTTTATCAGGAATTAGAAATATGAATGCTGACAGAAGTGATCTCGGGTTTCCTGTTGTGTTGTAGGGGTGTGAATCTGTTTAAGAAATACGTCCCTTTAGACAGTATACATCGTCAGACTGTGTATTATTGTCATGACATCTCCCTAAACATCGGGACAGAATCACGATTCTCCTCTTCCTCCACTGAAACACAGTAAATACTTTTTGACTCGCAATCAGTTGGACATTTTAGGAGTGAACATAAAGCATAAAGCAAGCAACTCCATCAGCTAGCTGTCTATACCTTCTAACCATGCTGACGTCCAAATAGCCAAATAATAGTTGTCCTTTCAATGCACTTTATTTGACAACACTGTGGTAAATATCTGATGATTTGATGGTCCAAATATAATTAACTTAGGTCTCTATTCGGCTGTAGTAAATCATATGTTAATTTGATAGTCCTCATACCATGAAGTAGATTTTCTGTTACTTTGATACTCAAAATATGACAATAAAGACTTGATTACCACATGTCTGTTAGTCAACAAATCAAACCATCTTTGATAACCCCGAACAGCAAACTCCTTGGTTACCAAATTTATATACTTCCCAGTAAGATCTTGTCACACGATTCTGCTGGTATGCAGAATGTTTTAAAGTTGACCCCCAAAAGCTCCAAAATTGTAGGCCAACAAAATATTTCGTCTCCTTGAGGTGAGGGAAATCATTAAATCTGGGAAGAGAAACCAGGGCCTGATATTTTTCATGCAATTAACGCATTCACCCCTGAAATTTCATAATGAACTACTCCCAACCTTTGAATTGGAAGAGTTCAAATGTGTCTTCAGGGGTGAATGAGTTAAATGTTGTTATAAAAACATTCAAATATAAGAATGCTGTGCAACTAGAAAACCTGAATATATTATATCTCTCAAAGGCTTGTCTACATTAAATTCAAACATTATCTTTTAGTTTTTATATAATAAGATTGATTTACTCTTGATAAATCCAAAATAAATTATCAAGATGAGAGAAGTGAATCAATACAGTAAACTAATAATGTGATAATACGCAACGCAAAAACAAAACAGGAAGGTATCAAAAAATGTTCTTGGCGATAAATAAGTAAATATTAGCTGTCTACTATAAGTACACAGAGTGACTTGTATAGTGTTTAATGGTTAAGTGTGTAAATAGAAGATGCAAAACAAAAACTTCAATCTGTATTGATAAACACTTGACATGTCCCCTAACAGCTGTTTGATGTTTTTAAGAGTCATAAATCACTTGTGACAACTCCGTCCGTCCCAGTTTGTACCTGATCTGGTTGAAGCTGCAGAAGACTAAGGATCAATAAGGAAACACCAGCATCTTCAACAAATGATCCGGGCTGCCGGGGTTTATATATATTTGAATGCAGTTTGGTCAATTCTGCGACATTCTGTTTTTATCACAATGAAAATCTCCTTTTATAAATGTAATTATCTGATAAAATACCTATCTTTCGTTTATTTGCCTGAAATGTTGCCTGGTGCTAATAGTTCTTATATACACTAGATCATATCAGTATGTCAAATCTTATTCTGTTGTCATATCTACATACATTTATATACAGAATTCACTAAATCACCTCCCAAACAAGTTATCAAAGACTTACTTTCAAAGAAGTCTGTTCACACTTCTCCGTGTAAAATAGATTCTGAAATGAATTAATTTGATGACAGAAACACCAGTAAAACGGACATTTGTAGAGGAATATTCTCAAGTCACCATAGTGATATCAATTTTATCAGAAGTAAAATTGGATTTCCTCGATTCATGCATTATGAAGACCTGGCAGCGGGATGGAATAAAATTCTAAATGACTTGGTCTGAAGGTCACTTAATCACACATGATGCATGCATGTACATTTCATGTGTAGCGGAGTTAACACTCGTAATCGGAGAGATCAGATCGTAAATTTTACCCAGGTGCATCCGAGTTTGACACAAATCAATACCATATATGCAACATGCCTCATTCCAATAGCATTGAATTCACACCTCGAAGGAAACGCACGCCGTTTTCCTAACATATTGCTCCTGGTCCAAGATGAGATTGGATTGTGGGCTGTTTTATACTTTTAGGACTGTCTAATGATTGGACTTGTGTCTCCACACTACCGGTCCACACCGTCAGTGTGCAGCTTTACATCTCAAACAGTCCTTTATTTAAAGTAATTTCTTGTCCATATCAGTGTCTATTTAATCAACTCTACTCATATCGCATTTATATAATTCAGATTTTTGGTAACATATACTTTTTAATGAGAATTTGATATATATTTCTTATTTTGAGATAAAGCAAATTATTTATCCAGTTGATTTGTTAACTGCCATTAAATTGTTTCAATTCCCTAATTTACCAAATTATAAACAGTTCCTAAAAAGTGCAAAAGTCAACTAGTTGTATTTGTATTGAACCATAGCGTAAATGTATTCAACAGTTTTCCAAAACAAAATCAATCCTCGATGAACACAGCCACCAATAATGTACACTGTTGCTAATGAATGAATTGGTCAACACCAATGTGTACCTCAGAGATCGCACAAAGTGGACTTTCAATTGATCTGTTTAGCAAGGTTCATGCGAGGTCGAAAGGTCATACCTATATAAAATCTGTATAGATCCCCGAGTGGAAACAATAGTGTCACCCACGGAGGGCCCCTTGGTCCTGCGCGACACAATTAGCCCTGTGTAGCAGCTGATCAGAAGCGTAAGTGTTGGATAGATTGCGCCTGGTTTTTCCCATACGGAGACATTTCATTGGGTTAAGTTAGGGTTAACGCTGTACAGTCACATGCGACGACGAAATGAGCCGGGCATATTTCCTTTTGGTGACAAGATTCATGGCAACTACAAGGACAACATCTCAGATTTGAAATTGTATTTCGGCTTCCAAATGCCTGTCGGAAGCTCAATCTGATGTGGTTATCTCCCCTTTATTTTTATCTTTAAATTTTCCTCCAAGCTCCAAGAAAATAAAGGGGAGATTACCAGGTGGGTGTTGTGGGACAGATTGAGCTGGCGGCTTTTCCTGTTAACACAAATGACTAGAACAATCCTGTAAGGTGAGTGTGAAGAGTTAAAAACTACAGATCATATCTTTCTTTCGAACATTTTATCCCCGTGGATATGTATATGTTGAAACATTTAACAGTTTTTTGTGTCTAGAAACTGCTAAATGTAACACAGTCAAAAT